CTCACCTCTCCCTCTCCCTCTCCCTCTGCCTCCTGCTCCCGCCACCAGGCCTCCTTGCTATTCGTTGAACAAGGAGCTGAAGCTGCTCCTGCCTCAGGACTTCTCATGTACATCTTGCTTTCCCACCGACAGTGGCAGGACTCCCCCTCACCTCATTCCAGCCTGCTTAGAGGTCACCTTCTCAGCACTCCTTTTGGGGCTACCTTCCCCAGGCTAGCAGACCAGTCTCCATTCGACAGTTCCGTTCAAAGAGGTTCATGCTTCTGAAAGCCCAGGGTCACATCCCTGACCATACGAGGAGGCTTAAAACAGTTCAGGATGGAGGAGGGGGAGGAGAATCCCTTTATCTTTCCATTCTGTTTTTCCGTGAACTTAAAAAAAAAAAACCCTCATAGAAGGTGGCCGGTCCATCAAGCACTTATGGTCTTCTACAAAAGTGTTCAATAGCCCTTTGCTTCAAGTTCAAGTGATTTGAACCCTGAGAAAGGCCATAGAAGCAAGGCCTTTCGTGAGAACTGGATGTGTTCCACAGGGCAAGCCCATAGCTGCCCACGAATGTGGCCACATGCTCCCCCTAGTCCTCCCTCCCCAGCGCCCTCGCAGACTTTATGCTTGTTTGCGTCTTCACCTCCACCTCCAGATTCCTCCTCCTCTAGCGTGTAGTTGGTCATGAAGGGCTCATATCCCGAGGCTGACGGCCTGGAGGGAGAAACTGAGGCTAGTAAAGCTAAGCAGGATCACATGACTTCACTAAAGGAAGATGAACTTTTGAAGCTCCAAGGGTGTCTGTCATCCGCTTCCTCGTCTTGGGTTACAGGGTCCAAGGTCCCCTCCTTCTGGCTGCCACTCAGGAAGACTGATCAAGTCCAGTCCTTCCTTGTCCTCGTTTGTCTCTCTCTCTCCCCACACCCCAGGACAAAACACAAACTCTGGTGGTCTGATGTTTCCGGTCCTGCATGACCTCACCAATTTGGTCAGTCCTGTGTCAGTCTCTGATCTCTGTCTGCGTCCTGTCCCCATGTTAAGGTGTTGGGTCAACTTGGCGAGGCCAGAATTCTCACTGGTTTGGCAGATAAGAAGATCCAGGAAGCCTTCTGTGATGGCGCTTCTGGAGGATGTGGCCTGCTTCCCACATAAGCAGATGCTGTGGGAGAGCTTGCTTGCCTTTTGCTGGGTCTGGATCCTGCCTCTGACTCGCCAGTCTCCGGGTCCTTGGATTTGAGTCGAT